TGGAAACCAAAGTTGTGGCCGTGGTAACGTCCAGATGGAATTCACATGGCCTGCTTGGTTCAAGTGCCCGAGCTCCTGCACGCTGGCTCGTGTTTAACTGTGCTTTGCAAGATGTTAGAATGAGTCCACTCCTTCCAATCTGTGTGGAGTCCTGCAGTGTTTGATTTTTTTGTGGCTTATGTTTTCTTCTTGAAATTTGTCTGTCCATCTTCGGGCATGTAAAGATTCTCTGAATCTAGAATGGCCCTTACTGTATATCATGGGGCAGCTTTTAGTTTCTGGTAGTCTGGAATTTTGATACATTCTGGGACTTCTGTTGGTATACTGAATAAGATCTATATTCACTTTTTATACAAACCGGAAACAACAACAAGGATTGGCGTGGTCAATTAGTATGTGTGCCTTTCTGGTGTATTGATTTCCCTGAATATTTCTCAAGTTTCATGTACCTGTTAGTCTTATTCTTGGGGTATATTGCTGTACACTGCCAGACTACTTGCAATTGAAGCAGTAGCCTGAGCACTTACCCTTCGTGAATAACGGTAGCTGTAGTAACCTGGATCGGTAAGACCAAAATTTTCATCAATCTGCACGCCATTGATTGCAAACTCCTGTCCTCAAGCAATCCTCCAGCCTTGGCCTCCCAAAGTGCTGAGATTACAGGCATGAGTCACCTCACCTGGCCTCAGTCTGTACACCATTGAATTAGTAAACCAAAGATTAAAAACCTAATTTAAAAAAATTCCTAGCCTTTTGTGGGCTAGGTGTATGAAATCCTATGAATCAAAGTAAATTTATAATTCTCTTCCAGATTTTGTTGAAGGAGCAGCTTTCTTTCAACTCTTAGGAAAAGTCAATCCTTCATGTACACTCAGAACGCAGCCCTTGTGATGCTCACACCCCCACTCACTCCTCTCCTGTGGCACTGGCCACCTGGCTCCTCCCCCCAGCAGACTTGGTCCCAGCTGAGGAATTTTGTTTAGTCATGTGCCACATAACATTTTGGTCAATGACAGACTGTATATGATAGTGGTCCTGTAAGATTATACCATCTTTTTACTGTGCTTTTTTTTATGTTTAGATGTATTTAGTTACACAGATACTCACCGTGGTGGTACAGTCACCTACAGTGTTCAGTACAGGAACATGCTGTACAGGTGTGTAATTCAGGAGCAGTAGGTTCTACCGTATAGCCTAGGCGTGTAATAGACTATACCCTCAGGTTTCTGTAAATACACTCTGTGATGTTCACACAATGACAGAATTACCTAATGATGCATTTCCCAGAATGTATCCGTGTTGTTAGGTGACGAATGACTACATGCTGTTCCCATTACCTAGAGTGCTCTTTCCCGGTGTAACTTACACAGCCATCCCTGATTTCCTTCAGGAGTCTGTTCGAATGTTATCAGTGAGTCCTTCCCTCCCCAATTTATTGTAAACAGCCCCTCCCTTTCCTTAACCTCCTCCCTATCCCAAGTCCATACCATTTATCTGTATCCCATGTACTCTAAATAGCTCATGTGTCTTATTTTTTAAATTGATCTCTCCCTCTGGAAGATAGGGGTGTTGTATGTTCTTTTATTGTAGAACAGTGCTTTGCATGAATAGGTGCTAAATAAGTATTTGTTGAATGAATGAATGCAACATGCAATTCAGTAAGTACACGACTGTGACATACTCATGGAAAGAAATACATCGATTCTTTCCCATTACGGTCAGGGGTAGCTGGGCAGCAGTGAATAAAGTAAGCCAATCCTGGGCGCAGGTATCTGTGTCAATTATCCAATTTGCTATGAGTGGTTGATTTAAAGTACTAATTTCATTCACTTTTTATAGCTCCTTCTGATTTTAATTAAAATTAGAGGAACAACTATATAGTTATTAAATGCAAATGTTTTTTTAATTTCCGAATTTAAAGAACTAAAAGCAAGGTACGTCTTAAGGAGATTAAGTTACTTTCTGAGTCACATCGTGGCCATTGTGGTGGACGTGCAGTGTTCATGCAACCCTAGACGTGGCTGTGAGGCAGCGGTGGCCATCCTGTTCCTCTCGCCAGCCTGGAAGTGGAAGTGGGTTCCGGTTCTGACTGTTAAAACTGAAAAGGAAGACTGCTGGGAACTTCTAGGAAGATTTCCTGAAGTCTAAGAAAGAAGCAGAACAAGAGGTGATCCTTTTGCTTCTGGACATCATCTTGTTGGAAAGAGAATCTTGCAGTGAGGGGAGCTGGGATTGCCGGCGGGAGGATGAAGCCAGGCCGAGAGCCAGCCAGCCTACCTCCGCGCTTCCTGTTTAGTAGGAGAATAAATTTCCTTCTTGCTCAAGCTGTTGTAAGGTGGTGTTTTGTTAAAGGCAGCCCTAGGAACATCAAAACTGGTACATCTCATTTCATAACACAAGTTTGAACATTTATTTCACTGTTGCTTCCTTGCCATTTGTACCTCAAAATAAATCCAGTTTGAAAAACATTCTTTTGACTGTGAATTGACCTTACGTGTATTTTTTTCTCTTTTAATTTTTATTTTTTGCCTCAAATCTTAGAAGCAAAATGAGTTTGGGTAGCAAAAAGTTTTTTGGAAACACCAAAATACAAGCCTGTAAGCCAAATTTTTCCATATGGGTTATTAAAGCAATTCTAATTAAATTTTTTAAAGTTTATAGGGGTCTGGGGAAGGAGATGTATTAATGTGATCCTCAGCTTCTTTGAGGCTTACAATACTGTTTATTTTTGTGCTGATTTCACCTCTGGAAATAGCCATGGCCAAGTATTAATAAGCTTATAATTCATCTGCCACTTTGGACAGAAAAAAATAGATGCTCAATATTTTCTGCTGTTATACGCTTTCGTTTTTATGTTTTTCCTACATTTGGCAACTTCAATTTCAATTTTAGAGACATAACTTCCAGTTGCTTTTGAGAAAGCTGACTTTCAGGGGCATTGCGTTCTGAATATTGGTGTACTAGTCATTCTCAAATACTTTGGCATTAGAATTTTTTTTTTCTAAATGAAACCTTTCTCAAAATCCAAAACAATGGGGTTTTCAGGCATTTTAAATCTTTATTATTTGGTAGGAAAATATTTCATTGCTTACTTAAACACGGAGGACAGTTTGAGAGCCTGCCACATACAGGTTAATGAATGACCCTGTAAGTTTTCCTTCAAACTGAGGTACTTTTGAGAGTGAAATAATGATTCCAGGACAACAGACACTGGGACAATTGGGACTGTCCCAGGCAAACTAGGCTCGTGGTACTGAAATGGTGGACATCGTAGCAGAGATACGGATCTCTGGTAAAGGGTAGTAGAGAATTGATGTGAGCCTCCTTCCCACAACCCCAAGCCCCTGCAGTGCAGCTCGGGAGCCCCGGCCCTGGAGGGAACCTCTGCCCCCCACCCGCCATGTGCACTAGCAGAGCAGTCACACCGCTGGGTGTTCAGCCCTTCGGCAGGTGTTCATTGAGCAATCACTGCTTGTGTCAGATGTTAGCTGAGGTACTGAGAGTGCAAAGGTAAATGGTAAAACTTGATTCTACAGATTCGTTTATTCAACAGAACTTGGCAATGAGTAGTTCCATACCAGTAACTACTGAGGGCTGTAAGGGGATTATTTAAATGGGAACAGGCAGGGCAGCCCTGCATTTGAATTTGAAATGTGATGTCTTTTACTAGGCTTTCATCCCTACCCCCACCCCCTGAAATTGAACTGTGAGGACCTGTGGATGTTCGTGTGTGATCCCTTTGGAATCTGTCTTACAGTTGGAGGCCACGAAGGTGTAGAACACAAGTGTGTGTGTCATGTGTTGGCTGTACTAGTGGTAGTTGTTGCGTGGAAGCAGTGTTGGAAATAGTAACTAGAGGAGATACAAGTGACGCGGAGGGTTCCTGTGTGTCTCTATCACTGTCTCTTAAGATTTGAGAAGAAGAATGTGAAAGTATGTTTTTTTCATTAAGAGAAAAATGAAGAGAGATAGAAAAGGGAATGAAAAGGAAAAACGAGAATCAAAAAAGAAAGACATTGAAATGAAAATTTTCCAGACCACAGTAGTACACGAAGAGCTGTGCAAAGGTGCTTAAGATTAGAAAACTGCCTCACATCTGCCTTGGCCCTTCCACCGCAGGCTGTCCCCACGCACAGCAGCTGCCTATAGTGACAGCTCCTGGTATGAGATTCTTAATGACGTGACGTCTTAAAGAGCCCAGGATTCAGTAAATGGAATCTTCAGACTTTTGAACCTAGCTTAGTTTTCTAAATAGTTGTATTTAATAGAGGATATTTTTTAATGATTGACATATAAAATACCAAAGAACTAACTTAGTATAATGGATTTTAGACTGGTGTTTGACTTTAAAGTTAGTTTTCATGTTAATTTACCCTGATGTCTTATTTTCCTTAGGATTAAAAAAGGGAACTTTTCTTCATATCTTTTAGCTGTTATAAAATAATGTGATTACTAGTGTTACCTTTAGAAGATTGTAAATAGTGAGTTATATATGATTTCTTCTTATTTTGAACCATTTTTTGTTTTTCAAGAAGAATAAATAATTATATATAAATCAAAATTTGGAATGTACCTGAATAACAGAAAGTTCAAGTACATCTTAGTTGCCTCATTGCTGAATTCAAACTTCAGGACTTAGGAATTAATTAGTAACTTATGAACACAAGAGGAGCTTGAACTCATTGAAGTTCTTTTCGTAAATTTAGACATGCCTGTATTTTAGAGATTCATGAACATTTAAACAATGATTTTTGTTTTACTTTTAAGTGAAAGGCTAACCTAGACAAAGATATTAAAGGCCCATGTGAAATTAAAGAGCAAACTATTAATATTTTCCTGCTTCAATTTTTAAGCATGTAGTATTAGAAACTATTCATTGCTTGCACTATGGATTCATTATTTGAAAATATTATTTTTCCTGGATTAATATGTCATAAAAAAGCAAAGAAAAAAGAAAAACCAAAAAAGTAAAAAGTTAACTTTGTGAATAAAAAATGCAGGACTTAAAGAAAGATCTGCTTCAGAGCCAACAGTCGCACCAGAAGAGGCCGAGCCATATGCTGACCCGGTGGAGGCTCCCGTGAGGGCAGGTAAGTTGTCCTCGTCCTTCAAGTCTCACTGGGATGTGCCTTAGCCTGACAGGTATCCCATTTGCAGTTTACAGAATCATGTTTTACCCAGAATTTGTTTCACAGTTTTACAGAATATTGAACTACCTTTTCTTCTCTTCTGAAATCTTACAGTAAACAAAATTTTTCTAGTAAAAATTCGCACAGGATAGTTTTAATTTTTGAGAGATAAAGAATCTTAGGCACGGCATTTGTTCTTTGTCTAAGATCACAGGATCATCACGAGCTGAGTGTTATGTTTCTCGATTCCAATTCTAGCACTACAGTACCTTATTACATTGAAAGTAAAAGTACACACGTTATATACTAGTGTCGTCATTTGTCATGTGATTTAATAGAGTAGGTCTAGTGGGTTCTCAGTCTTTTCTGTATGAGGGTCTCCTGTCCACATCAGAAGACGTCCCAGACCTCCCTGTGATCCTCTGTGAAGCCTGTCTTGCATCCACATGGATCGAGTGTCTCCATAGTTACCCAAGGGCCTAGGACCCATAGGATGGAAGATCCTGAAATATTTTAATAAATTAGTAAATTAAATTTTAATCCATTACTATCATTTCTTATATATGGTATGCTATTTATTATAAAGTACTATTTAATTTCTGCACATTTTTCGTTTACCCGGTTCTCAAGAACTTTGGTTTCTTTCTGCCACCTATTGGAAGTGTTAGGTATAACACTGCATATTTACTGCAGCCTAAGTACTGGGTCCAGCACCGTACTTTAGACTGATTGTATTACTGTGTATTGATGAATAATATTTTATTTTCCTTCCTTCTTTTTAAGATAATTGAGTTGCTCTGAATTTTGTTGAGTTCATAGTCCTAGGAGAGTTTACTGTCTCTTTCTTATTCCTGTAGAATTGCTGTAATTGTACCATGGCACTGGAACAAGGAGTGAATTTTTTCAACTCTTTTTCTTTTAACACACATTTAAATGTGTGTTTGGATTTAACACCTCAAATTTTACTTTGCACTAAAAAAAAAAAAAATTCATTCTTTAACCCATTGCTGTCTGGCTTCTGCCTCCACTGACCCTTTCCAGGGGTGAGGAAGAGTGCTTACAAAATCATGGAAAGTCGAAATGGCGTGGTGTACTCACTAAGTTCAAAGCCAACGCTGGTAGCAGATGATTCTGGAGAAGTCTCTAAGGGCTCAGTTGTGGAGGTCTTCTATTCTCTTCCAGGGAGCTTAGGTTTTCACCTGTTTGGGCAAAGGAAGCCATTAAAGGGTTAGGCAAAAAAGCAGAGTGCACCACTTCCAGTAACGCAAATTATATTCTCTTTGGATGGTGCTTTCAGCAGTTGTGAAACTGGGTGTCCAGGTGGGAAGCTAACACAGGCATCGTGAGAGGATGAGGGAAGAATGGAGTTTGGCAGACTCTTCTGTAGTTGTAGGAGAATATGTATAAAAGTGGCTTGTGAAATATAAACATCTATAAAAATAGAAGGCATTTTTGTGCTTTAGAAATGGTTTTGTAGTATGATTAGCATAATAGAAATATCTAAATGTTTAAACTTTTTCCCTGCCCGAAGTTCGAATTAACTTCTTCCATTTTTGTCACGGAAGATTAGCTTTTGTAAATAAGTGATGTCACTGGCATAATTTCACATGACAGCATTTATGATAACAAATCTGGTGGTACTTGTATTCACTGAACATAGAGTATGTTTGTTAGAGAATTTATAACAGTGTCAATGTAGTTATAGCTTCTTGTTCCTGCATCATGTTGCAGGTGAGTCTGATGATCTGACAAGCACCACAGTGTTGTGTTGTCGGAATGTCATTGTCAGTGTTCGCTTTTGTAATTCACATTTATTTGACTCTGTGGATCTGACTGTCAGATGTGTTTCTCCAAAGCTGAAAGGATTGTCTGTTCCAATGTAGAGGCTTTCTGACAACATCTGGGAGTGGTCGGCCAACGCTGAGCACCCTCAGTCCTCACACCAGCAAGGGTGTCCTCCCTCCTGTCAGGGAAGGCGGTGGTTGACCATATACTTCAATCTATATTGACTTTGTCATCTAGATTTTTATCTTTAGTTCCCAGTACTTCTCTTTATGAAAGCCTTGTCCTTCCCACTTTATTCTACCATTAGTGTGAATTGTATTATTAATAATTACAAACTGAAGTCATTTTGCTCTTTGTGAGGCTTTTATTTAAAATAAAAATATGAGCCTCAATTAGTTTTCTTTCTTTAAAACTCTTATTGGAAGTCTTTTAACACTTACATCTGCTGGGAAAAAAAAAACAATTTACAATATCTACCATGTTTGTCAATAAAGGAAAAAACATGGTAAACTGATATAAAAAGGATGCGTAATTGCTTAGCCACATATATTCATTTTAATGGCTGTGCATAAATGCCATATTTGAGTGTTAGAGTTCCACATCAATGTTTGAATTTTTCTACTTAGTTATGTTTTGTAATTATTTTAGAACCCCGGTATATCGAAGATGAAATAACAGAACAAATTCAGCCCCTTCTCCATGAAATGGTATACACAGAACATGGTATGAATTCAAATCTTTTGTTTTGTCATGAATTACTTATATGTGTTTAATTACATGACTTGGGCATTACTTTAAAATTTAAATGTTAGTTGGATGTTTGGATTATTTTCTTAAAATTTTTAAATTCAAAGTTATTAGAGTACAAATATTACTTTTGAGTAGCCTTATACGTATTTTATTTTACCCCACCTCACTGTGAAGGAGCTTACCACGTACATCTAAGAGAGGAATGGTGGGAATAAATGCGTGTCCACAAATTGAGACCAGTGATCCATCAGGAGTAGATGGGAAGACAGAGAGGAGGAAAACAGGACACAACTGAGCTATGATGGGCTATCCAGGTGCTGTCATCCACCCTCAGACTTGACTTCCTGCGTGGCTGGGCACCAAGACAAAACAGAGACTTTTTTAATAATGCAGGTTAGATTACCAAAAGGAAAAAACACAAGAATATAAAGGATTTTCCCAGCACTTAGATCTAAACCATTTCTCATGTGGAGCTCTGTGTAGAGGATACCAAATGATAGTTCAGAAACCAGTGTTAGGATTTTATAAGGCTGCTTCTTAAAGCATCCCTTTATAAAAACAGAGAGAGTGACCCCAAAATGTAACTCATGAAGGGATCATGAGGGGGGAGAACACTGGTGTCTTATTACTCCTGATGGTTTCGTATGGTACTGTATGTCCTAAAGAAAAAAAAAAATGTGTTTCTTAAAAATAAACAGTCCCTGTCATTTGGACTGTTTTTGCTGATGTTGCTAGGGGGTGCAGGAGCCCTTTGGTTGCCAGCCGCTTTGCAGGCCAGAAAGCCACTTGGTCTGCCTGTGTGAGCAAGCACAGGCTTCCGTTTCCTCCAGCTTTTTCTCTAACTTTCACCTAATCCGAGGAAGATGCAGCCTAATAAGTGATTTCACTATAATGGGGTGAGTGGCATAACGGGGAAACCCAGGATGCTCTGGGGGGCTCACCCCGACTCGAGGTCAGAGAGGCTTCCTCGAGGAAGTGACTTCTTCACTCAGGAGCTGGAGGCTGGTGTAGAACTTCATCGCCGCTGAGGCAAGAGGGGATCTCAAAGTATTTCAGAATGGCTGGCCTGTGGAATACATGGGAGCAGTGTGCTGAGAGAAAGGGTATTTTTACCCGATTCTGAGAGTAATCGAAGCCATCGGGGAGGGTGTTGAGGAGTGCTGTGTATTCACTCAATGCACGGGAGGGGTGCAGGCGGTCAGCAGGGAGACCAGGTGGGGGTTGTACTGGTACCCCAAGTGAGTCGGGATGTTGGTCAAACTCCGCTTAGCCAAAGGTGGGGATGGAGAACAGTGGAGAGAGACCTGGGAGATGTTTAGGTGGGTGGTGGGTGGGCAGACAGCCAGAAGAGGAAAGAATCGAGCCATGTTCCGTGCCATAGCCGCCTTCTTGGACCTGTTTTTTCTTTATTGAGATTTCCTCCTTAGGAATCACATATATGGTCCATGGCTTTAAATATTATTTATATGCTGGTGAGTTCTGAATATGTAGCTGCTGCCCTGATCACTCCAGGTTTATCCAGCTGCATAAGACATGTCCATTTGGATGTCCTGTCAGTGTCTCAGACTTAAAATATGCCTAACACAGAACTCATGATTCTTCTCCATCTCACAGCTCCTCCCTACCCTGAACCCCAGTATTACTCTTAGTCTAGTCTGCTATATTTTAGTTAATGGCTTCCCTTCCCACTTAGTTGCTTAAGCTGAAAACCCAGGAGGTTCCCTTGATTTCTCAGTCTCTTCTCCCTTCACATATCCAATCCATCAGCAAGTCCTGTCGTCATTGCTGCTGACATGTATCCTGGCCCTCCAGGGCCTCAGCGGTGACTGTCGCCTCTTGCCACGACTGCTGCTGTAGCACCCGCCTGGGGCTCCCTGTTTGCGTCCTTGCTCCTCTATAACGGTGTCCGATGTGGCCCAGCCATCTGTGCCTTATCTGGTTGCAGCCTGCTCCTCTTTATCAGTCACTTTTCTCTAGCCCACTGGCCTCTCCCTTTTCTTTGAAATGGCCCAGCCCACCCCTGCCTTGGAGCCTCTGCACCTGGTATGTCTTTGGCTGAGATGTGTTTCTCACCCCACCTCATCTTCATGTCTCATGACAACATGGCTCCCTGTCCCCACCACGGTGCATCCCACATTGGGATTCAGGTCCTGCGTCTGCCGTTGGTTAGCTGCATGGCTTTAGTGAAGTGTCTCCAGGTCCTCGTCTGTCAGAGTGGGATACCAGTGCCCACCTCGTGGGATGGTGTAACAGCCGCAGAGCGCTTGCCAGTGCCCAGAGTCTAGTTAACCCTGGAAAGTTCTCTTCATACCAGGCTGTCCCTGACTGAGCAGTGGAGACTCAAAAGTAGTGTACGGTGTTTGGCTGGTTTCCCTACTGAAAACAGGGACATTTCCATTGAACAGAGAACTGAGTCCTGCTAATGTAAAACTCATCAAATTGCACTGGCTAGAATGAAAGCAGAATAGAGAAAGAGGGATATGGTAAGAAGAAAAAGAGTAGTAAAATTTGCAACAGGAATTGGTGATTGGTTTGCTGAGCAGCAGAAAATGTGAAACGAGGAGAAAAATACAATAAGCTATGATGAGAAGACAGAAGTCAAATAAATCGTATTGATGTAAATAGGGCTGCCTGGTTCAGTAACACCTGAGAGCATAACCGTGCCACAGTAAAGGGAGAGTAACTGAGGAAGCCTTCCTGCAGTTTGGGGTGGGGTGGGAATTCAGTAGCAGTGGGAAATAGTAGTAATGTTATTTCTGTAATAACGACACCTAAGTACTTACTATGGGCCATGCGTTTTTCTAAGTGTTTTAATCTTCACAACAAAGCTATGAATAGGTACTGTTATTCCCATTTTATGTAAGAGAGATCTTAGGCACTGAGTAGTTAAGTAATTTGTCGACAGTCACCCAGCTGCTGTGGAAGGGCTTAAATCCAGAACCATGTGTTCCATACCCCACACACCTACTCGCTGTGCCGCACAGCGGAGTCCAGCTCGTGCAAGGTCTGTAGCTCGAGTGTTGTGTGTAGGAGATATTCTGCCGGGAGCCACATCAAGTTATTGGGGTAATTTTTAGGCCCAGTAATAATGTAAACCGTATTACAGTGGAATAATGTAGCACGTCCAACATCTACACAAAAGAAGCAGAACAGTATAGTATATCATAGAAGTTAATCTGAGAAGAAAAAATGGGCATCTTTGCATAACCTAAAGGCTAAACGTAGGAATATTTGGACACACAGTGTCATACCCGCCAATCTGTGACCTTGCATATGATTTCGACAGGTGGCTAGCTGTTCTTTGCTATGGAATGTTTGGTCCTCTAAAGTTGTTACATGGAATTTTATGTCAATTCTCAGTAAAAGGTCATAGTGTGACCTTTTCTCCGATCCAGTGATAAAGAGGCAAATATAATAATTATGAATTTTTTTATTAATTCAGATACTTATTGAGTATTTCCTATGGCTATGCATGGCCCTAGGTGCTGGGCATACGTAGTGAACAATATGTATGAGGTCCCTGTCCTTGGCGAGTTCACGTTCTAATGAGAGGAGACCACCCTCCTCCCCGCTTAGGCGGACTGGCACTTGGCCAGAGTGAGGAAATGGCTTCGGAGTGGATAGCAGCATCTGCAGTGGCCCAGAGGACAGGTGGAGACTGCCCAGCATCAGGAGGGGGGTGGCAGCCCTTCCAAGTGACTTCTGTGTGTAAGTTGGCTGTGGCCAGTGGGCCCTCACTATAGACTGGTGTCCCTTTGTCATAGTTGAAGAAGACCTGCAGCAACAAGAGGGTGGACCAGCTGGAGAACCACAACCAGAGGATAACGATTTCCTTACAGCGACTGATGTAGATGATCAGTTTGAGACCCTGGAACCTGAAACGTTTCATGAAGGTAGAGCACTTTTTTTTTGTTTGTTTGTTTCAGAATAAAATACAATAGACGATTTAGAATTATTGAAGATTTTCTTAAACTCCTTCAAAACTAATATTTAACTTATCTAAATTTTTTTTAAGTTGGAGCTTAAAGCTTTAATTAAAGTGATTTTTCCCCCAAAATAAATAGATATTCCGATTTTGCTTCAAAATACTTTTAAGAGAAACTTAAAATGTATAAATTTCTTATGAAAAGTAGGTGAAATACTTAACAAACTACTTTTACTGTATTCTCCTGCTTAGGTTGCTATTTGTTATGTGAAATTCAGACAACCAATGAAATATTTGACTTGACAATCTTTCACAGGCTCTTGTTCAACATGAACTCCGTAACTACCGTGGGTAGAACACATTTCTTAGCTTCTATACCAGGCACCAGCAAACTGTTTTTGTAAATGGACAGATAGTAAATATTTTAGGCTTTGCAGACCGTACAGTCTCTGTCGCAACTACTCAGCTCTGCTGTCAGCACAAAAGCCACCAGAGATAATACCTAAATTTCTATAAAAGTTTATTTACATAAATAAAGTTTATATAAAAGTTTATTTACAAAATCCTGCACAATATAGCTGGTAAATGGTTGCAAGGACTTTTTTAAAGCATGCAAGTAATGAAAAAGTGAAGTTTATCTCCTCACGGTATTTAATATATTGAGAATTTACTTTAGAAACAGGCAGCTTCTAATTTGTTAGAGGATATATTTCAAAAAGCTTACATCCATGCTTGTTTGAAAGGCATGGATAGAAGCTCTCTAGAAAACGGTGGGACAGGTCTGGAAAATAGAACACTGTAGTGAAATGCGAAGCGGACTAGAGATTAGCACTTCTCCTGGTCCAGCCTTTGTCACTGTTACTCCATACAAACCGTCCTCTCTTTAGCGGAGTGTGTGGTGTTCATCAACCTGTGGTTGTTGAGGGGATCAAGTATGCGAACGTGTGAGACATTTCAGAGTGTAGCTCCAGTGAAAGATGAAGTGTTAAGCAGACATTTAACATTTCCGTGTTTCACTTTAATAGTTATTTCTTTTAAAATAAAATTAATCATAAGCATAGATTCAGAATATACCAGAATATGTACGCCATTTTATGAAAGTAGTAATATCAATCTGATGTGTTTTCAGAAACTGTGGAGAATTACCATGTGGAAGAGACAGGTGAGATTTTAATTTAATACTCTTCTTTCTCAATTACAGTGAATCTTTTCCTTTGAGACATCATCATAAGATTATATATGTAATAGTATCTACTATTATTTATTAGTAACAATATAAATTATTTAACATATCACATGATATATGCTTAATAATTTTATTACATACCATGTATTAATATATTATCTTGTGAATATAGTTTTTCTGTTTTGAAGTCTATTTCTTGAGGATAAACTCCCGGTAGTGGAATTATGAGTTTTGTAACCTTAAGTTACAGAATTTTGTAGCCTTAAGTCACAAAGTCAATGTAATATCAGAGTTGTGTTTGGTCAGGTGTCATGCACCCCAGAAGGTACCCTGGAGATGGACACATCATCCGTCAGCAAGCCTGTGTCGTTGGCTAGTTTTTCTGCAATGCTGTAACAGATCATTCTTAACCGTGCTTGAGGACCATGTGATGTTGTTGGCTGTATCGTTTTAACAATATATATCTGTAAAAACTAGAACTATGTTTTGGTCTAAGAGAAACACATGGAGTGGCCAGTATCAAGTCCAAATGAGGGCTGGGGATGGGTGCATCCTCGCTCAGGCTCGCTCTGCGGCAGGTGCTTGCTGGCTGGGCAGGAAGACTCACCTGCACTGCTCTCTCTCTGTCTCTGTCTCTCTCATTTTTATTTGCTGACTGTAGTTGAATCCACATAAACTAAATGAGAACATAGCTTTATTATTTTGTGGTAGGGCTATAAACCCATTGATGACGAGGTCTGCCTTATTCATCTTTGCATTTTGCATTTAGCATAGTTAATAACTATTTGTTCTATGAGTGGAATGTTTGAACATCATTATGCTTTGATGTCACAGTTCTATCATTACTAGAAATTGTACTTCTGTGATTTTGATGATCACATGTTATCCTTATTCCAGACACATTTATAATTTCCTAATTGTTTCCTAACTTGTAGTTTCACAGGACTATAATCAGGATATGGAAGAGATGATGTATGAACAGGAAAATCCAGGTTTGTGAATGTTAAAATTATCAACATGTGTTTCTGTTTGAGGCAGTGGTCAAGGCCGTTTAAACCCAGGGTTAATGATTCACTCTCATGAAACACAGATCTCTTTATATTTATAATCACTTTTGATTGCCCAGATAGTTATAGGGATTTCTGAATATGGTTTATATTACATGGGGAAATGAGGGAAAAAGGGGTTGTGTTTTTCAAACCACTACAAAGATTCTGGTCTTCGTAGGTAGGATGTTGCAAAGAATATTTGGAAATTGAAGAGGTGGGATGATGTAGCAGAGTCAGGCTGGGTGCAAATCCTTGTTCTGTTTCCTATCCTTTCTTGTCTTTGTGATTTGGCAAATTAGGGAACATTATTCAGCTTAAATTTTATTAAACGATAATGACAGTATCTGCCTTACAAGGTTGCGAAGATGAGAATTAATTTGTGAATCTTTTAGAATAGCGTCTGGTAACGTGTTCGGTTTTTTCATTTTTGGCAAAGGTGTGTTTTTGTTTTTTTAGATTCCAGTGAACCAGTAGTAGATGATGAAAGATTGCACCATGATGCAGGTATTAAATGAACGTTTTCATTAGATTTTAAATGTTACTTAATGTTTTTCAATTGCAGTGCCATGTTTACCTGGTGATTTTTCTTTTAAAGGAGTCAAAGAAGTAATTTTAGCACCTAATGCATGACATTTTGTCTTGTAACAAAATTAGACTATTAAAAGCACACCAGGCTTTCATATTTCATCTTATCTACTAACGCCTCCATAACAAAACATGATGTTAAATCCTAACGCTACTTTTGTGTGTCTTATTCTGTGCCAATTTGAGGAATTTTGTTTGACGATAATTTACCTGCCCTTTCCTTTAGTTGCTTTTGGGCAGAAGCATTTATTACTGACTGTGCAGACATTAATGTTTAAAGGAGTAGAATTCTGGTTTGAGATTAAGTTGTTGTTGCTTTTTAGCTAAGCAGTTATACAGAATGACTCATTTAATACTTACTTTGTTTTTATTCTCTTTTTTTTTTTGCAGATGGCGTAACATACCAAGACTATGATGAACAAGGTTTGAAAATGTTTCTTAATCTTCAGCCACCTACTTGTTTTAAAATATGCCATAGTTTGACTATAAAACATAGAGAATTATGTTTTAAGCTATAAATATCATAACTTAAAATATCCAAGTGAATGGTAGTTTTCAAAGAATTCCCTTGGGGAGATTGCCTATTCCAGCAGTTCTGCCAATGCCTAAATAATCTCCTAAATTCCTTACGAATCATTAGGAGGCAGTTACAAGTCATTCAAGACAACTGATCTCATTATTTTATAGCCATCTCTCTCTTTTTATTAAAATATGTATGAACTGCTACTTTAGTCAAGTGTTTAACTACTCTTGCTGATTCTACAAGTTAATCCTACTCTCAAAGATGACTGATTTGCTAGCTTGAGGAAGGTTAAGAAGAATTGGTTTCCAAGCTTAAAGGCAACATGGAAAAAATAGTTCTGGCAAAATCTGTGGCATGGGCAGCATCTGATTCAGACTTAGGCCTTTGTAACTCTTCTGTGTCCAAGCATTTCATGTACTGTTCTATTGAACTCCATGAAGTAGATCATATTTGCTCTACTTCCCACAAATAAGGTTCAGAGAACAAATAATTTGTCCCAAGATTATATGACTAAGAAATGATACAGCCAGGCATCGTGGTTCAGGTTTGTAATCCCAGCAACTTGGGCAGCTTAAGGATGTCTTGAGACCAGGAGTCTTGCAACAGAGCAAGACCCCATCTCTAAAAAAAAAAAAAAATGACAAAAAATTAGCCACACATGGTGGCATGCACCTGTAGTCCCAGTTACTCAGGAGACTGAGGCAGGGGGATCACTTGAGCCCAGGAGCTCCAGGCTGCAGTGAGCTATGATTACACCACTGCACTCCATTCAGCCTGGGTGACAGAGTGACAACTCATCTCTTAAGAAAAAAGAAAGAAAGAAAGAAAGAGGGAAAGAAAGAAGGAAAAGAAAGAAAAAGAAATGACAACTCATCTCTTAAAAAGAAGAAAGAAAGAAAGAGAGCGAGAGAAAGAAAGAAAAGAAATGATACAGCCAATGATGTATCCTTTTTATTTCATTATCTTCAAATATGATTCTCTAGAAAGAGGTCAGTTGGGTATAAGTTTGTGTGTAAAGCAGAAAAGATGAAGAAATATGTCATGATTGAGTGGAATATGGAAGACTTTCCACATTCTAGATGGTTTTAGGCTTGAAGTTCAAATATGAATAACATAGGATTCCTCCTTTAAAGGAGTTCTTATAGCTGGTGACTCACAATTGAAGAAAATTAGAAATGACTATGTGTAGGCCTGATATGTTAACTTAAGACTTGAGACCCTACCAGGGTCATCATCCATAGTGACTGTTTCTAATGGAATATAAATGATACCATGGGAAGAACCCTGGATTGTGTCTTTAGGTATGGATAATCCTTTTATAAGAAGTTGAAGAACTTGGCCCCAAGATTATATTTAGATTTTTTGTCCAATCTTGAATTTGAAGAAGAGAATAATAATTTACAAATTAAAAGTTGTGTGCAGAGATGGGATTTGAGATACTTTTCTAATTTCTGCCAACCATTGTAGTGTTTTTTGAAAACTTACTAGAAAGAACATGTTTAGAATGCAATTTGCAGACTAGATCTAAAGAAATTTAAAATCAAACTTGTAAGAAGTATAAAATTAGATACCAAGCTAAAAAGATATTGTAAAAATGAACGTATTTCATTAATTTTAGAAGTATCATAATAAATGTAATTTAAAATGTTAAAAAAAGGATAATTAGTACGACCTAAGGGATTATCAAGATTTGATAAGATACTTTGGATTACCTTGCTATAGAACATAAGCTTTGTTTTTTTTTTTTTAAGACAGAGTCTCACTCTGTTGTCTGGGCTAGAGTGCCGTGGTGTCAGCCTAGCTCACTGTAACCTCCAACACCTGGGCCCAAGCAATCCTCCTGCCTCAGCCTCCCAAGTAGCTGGGACTACAGGGGCGCACCAACATGCCTGGCTAATTTTTTTTTTTATATATATATTTTTAGTTGCCTGGCTAATTTTTTCTATTTTTAGTAGAGACAGGATCAAACATAAACTTTTTCAAACATAATAGATCTAACTAAACAGAGGATTATTCACTATATGCTAAAAAGATACCTTTGTGGCAATTCGGAACCAGACTAGGGAAACCAAGTAACTGTCATATAAGTGAAGCTGTAAGTAGAGTAAAAACAAAACCATCTTTCAGCAGGAGAACAGAATATATTCTATATTAAACTCCCCACCTCCAGGACCTGGAAAGCATATGGTTTGATAGAGCCATTGCAGGAACCAGCTTTCCACATCAAAGATACAGAAAGCATGACACCGGCATTGGACAAACCCAGGAAGCAACAGTACAGTGTTGCCATCTGATTGATTTGTTTACTCATACACTGCATATTTATGTAGTATGTTGTGTCCAAAACACACAACACTGGAACAGTTCTAGTGAGGAACACACACATGGTACGTGTTTGGGTATGGATCTAATATTTTAGCAGAGGGGTAGAAATTAAACAATTCCAATGTAGTCTTCAATTATAGTTGCGGTAGGTGCTGGGGAGAACAAGTAGAGTGTTTAATAAGGGCATACTAGAGACCTTCTTGGTTTGTGGATGAGGCCAGGCCTTCCGAAGTTTGAGCTAAGGTGAGAGCAGTGGGCAGGCAAGCAAGCGTCAGGACAGTCGTGTGAGGTCTCGGAGGTGAACTTGCAGAGAAGAGGGACGGGGCTGAGATGGTCCAGAGGATACCTGTAAAGGAGGCCAAGGACATTCATCTTCACCTTAGGGTGCTGTGCAGGGGCACCCCAAATCAAATCTGCATTTTTAAAAGATCAAGGGGTCTGAAATTTAGCCAATGGACTGGAGAGAGACAAGAGTCAACGCGGGGAGACCAGCTGGGATACTGCAGTCATCTGAATCTCATCTTTCCCTGAGTCATGTCTCTGCCTAACGAGAAGCCAAAGGAGATGAGTTTCAAGAAAGAGGTGTCCAGTGGTGCTGCCAAGAGCCATGTGAGATGAGCGCCAAAAATGTGCATGAGACCTAGCCCCGCAGTGGTGTCACAGGTGACCATAGCCAGACCCATTTCGAGGGACAGGTTGGAGAGAGACGATAGTGGTTTAGACTAGGGTGGTGGCAGTGACAGTGGAGGGAAGTGGATAAAGCGGAGAAATATTCAGAAGGTGGAATCGGCAGGGCTGTAGGCATGGGTGTAGCTGGGGAGAGAGCAAGGTGCTGAGAGCCATGTCCACTCTTCTGGCTCTGTGGCCCGGTGGCTGCGGGGGCTCTTGCTAAGACAGGACAGCCTGGAAGACACGGACGGGGTGGGAGGTCATCAGTCCAGTCCGTGTATGTTGACAGTGACATTTCTTTGAGGCATCCAAGAGGAGAGATCAAATTAGCCATTTGCTGGTGCTTAACTCTCAGAAGACAAATCTAGTTTGTGGTTCTGGCATGGGAATTATGCGTGTATACGTGGTCATCGGGGCCAAACTCAGATCTCTTAGGGAGAGCAGATAGAGGGGGACCAGGGGATGTTCTATGGCTGGACTTTGAAGAAGCCCAACATTTAATGCCTACTAAGAAAAAGATGAAGTGATAAGGAAGATTGAGAAGGAGAGTACGGTCACACTGAAGTCCAGGGCCAGTGGTGTTTGGAAAGGAAGGCATGTTGCAAAGAGGCCTAATTCGGTAAATGCTGGCTGGTGCCCCTCGGCTTAGATGAGGTGCTCGCTGGTGGTCTCCGGGGTCAGGGCCTGCAGGCAGATGGGAGTGGGTTGAGGAGGGTGGAGGTGCAAGGAGGAGCCATGGTCATGTGTGGACGCCTCCTCGAAGAAGTTAGATAGTGAAGTGGAGGAAAGGGAGGATGACAGGAAGCAAGCTCAACGAAGGGTCGCTTTGTTTTTTTCAGTTGGTAGAGGCGTGGGCATATTTAAATGCGGGCACCACTCGGGAACAGAGTGAGCACACATTCACTGCTTCCTCATCTTCCAAATGCCTCCAAAAGGATAGAACAATATGTTAAAAAATAGTCCCATCCCGTACCCAATACTGGGAATAATGTCTGAAAGATAGTAGGTGTTCACAAATATTTCTTTACTAAACGAATAAAACAATAAATTTATAACTAAGCAGGGAAAGTAAGAAAGTTCTCTTGTAGTGCACCAGAAAACTGGAGACATTTTGGAAGGTCAGGCTGACTGAGAAAGCTGCAGGGCACTGGGCACAGGAGAGGACTGTGCAGAGAGAAGCCTGCTTGCAGCAGAGCAGAGGAGAAGCACGGAGCCTCGTGCCGGGGAATGAGAGGAGGAAGGGGCAGTGCATCGAGGCCTGCCAGCTGACACCGCATTCTTGGGCTGGCAGCAGGGTCCTTTGCCCCCAGCTTAAAGATCTGAGCATTGTTCCATAAACAAAGATCCCTGGTGAAAACTGGGATCCAGGATGATTAGTAGGGTAGAGCTTCAGCTAACTCAAAAGCTCCACCACAAACATGAAGGAAAATTCATAAAGGCAATAAGTGGCTGACCTAGAATTTAAAGCCAGGACTGTTTCAGTCCAGACCAAACTCTTCCCCACCCTTCTCTAGTCTGCTATTTCCCAGTGACTAAGCCCTGCATGTTCAAAGATGGATAGATAAGATGTTATCTCTGCCCTTGAAACATGCTGTTAAGTTTTGTGTTATAATAGAAGTTATGCAGTGCTATAAAGGATTATTTTTTCTTGTTTTCTTTAATAGTATATGAACCTTCAGAAAACGAACCTTTGGAAAATGAACCTTCAGAAAATGAAGTGACAGAAATCTCAGGTGAGTTTATTCTGTAAATGGAAGTTTCTTGCAAGTTAATACTCCCCTATGTTTGTTAAAACTCTTATAACTTGTGGAACAAAGAATCAATGTAGTGAGAAATACAAGACACTTTCAAGTCATCAAGAAAGTAATTGGGTATTGAAATTCAAGATGAAATTAAAGTTGATATCCCAGTATAAGTACTCTATAAAAAGACCCAGTTTAAAAAGGACCAAATTTAGATATCTGAGTGGATAGGAGTTAATTTAGGAATCTGAGGGGAGGTGAGTTAATGTAAGATGTGTTTGCTTTTTTTAGATAATGCTGTAGAAGATTCAAACGTAATTTCAGAAGGTAAGTTAATTTCATAGAAATAGTTTTACCTTCCATTGAAGAAGATGTTCATTTATTCAACAGTATTTATTGAGCATTTTCTACTTGCTATCTGTGCAGTGCTCGAGAGCTAGCAGTGTAAGAGTATAAGGCAGAAATCCTGTTTATTGGGGTAGACATTCCAGGGGCCAAACAGATAATAAATAAAGTAATTGAAGTTTATGAAAAGTGCAGTGCTGGCAATAAAAACAGAATACTGTAATGAGCAACTGCTGAGGGTGTGGAGGCCTAAATGGGGTAGGTGACCCTCCACGAAGCAGTGATCTAATGAAAAGGCGTTAGGTGTGGGCAGAGGTGGGTCGAAAGTGGGGTCCTTTGTATTCTTTTCAGGTAGGAAAAAAACCTTTTTATTGGAAGTGAAGAATGGTTTCTGAAAAACAAAAATAGTTGCACATATTAAATAGTGGTGCTTAAATGCAGCTTAGGTTTATGTAGTTCTTAATGGTTTACAGTATATTGTAATTCTTTCACGTATATTATTTCAGTTGCTTCTCACAGTAGCACTGCGGAGGAGGTAGAGCGGAGATCTTTGTACTTATTTCACAAATGAAAAACTGAAACTGGAGCAAGGTCAGGTGACTGGCTCGCCCCAGGCTCCATAGCTGTAAGTGGCCAAGTGGGTGTGTGACCCAGAACGGGGCTCGAAGTTGACCGCATGGGGACACATGAAATTTAGCAATAGTAGGTTGCCACAAGTAGCGTGGAACGGAAAATTTTGCTCATGGAATTACTTTTAGAATTCATGTAAGAGCAGCTGATTGTCAGTTTTCAGATTAAATGTTACTGGTTTTGAGCTTGGTTAGGCAGAATGGACAATGGGATGGAACAGTCAACTGCTGGAGGAGGTGGGTGTGGAGGGGGGGGAGACTACAGTTGCCCTCTTGTCCACTTGGCGGCTGGGGGAGACCTCCGCACGGTGCTGCGGGTCCGCTGTGTGCCAGCAGGTCCCTCTCCATGTGGCAGGGCTGGTGGAGCTGAGATTTTCTCCTACTCGTTTCTCCATGAGGAATACTAGTGTTCTGAAGAATATAGCTGAGTCTATATATTTGTTCAGCAAGAATAAGAAAATGGAAACCCAAAATCCCCAGGAAGAACTTCATCCAACCTGCTCCTACATAGGTTTTGTGCATTATACAATGCATTATACAATTTGACTCTGCCTTTCTTGGGTTAGAAATACAGTTTTTTCTTAAGACTTTTCAGGCATTTCGATAAGCTGATAGAGGTCATGGCAGAGACTGCTAAGGGAATTCCCTTTGGTGGACGAGGGGCGTGGGGCTGTGCACATTGTTCCCAGCCTGCGGCTTCTGTGCTGGGCGCCTGCAGCCCCTGCCTGGACAGTGAGGGGGAGCTCCTCTTCACACATC